AGTTCAGTCCCATATTTTACAGATGTAAAATCTGTACTTTTGAAGCAGTTTGACCTAGGAATCCTGGTTCAAATTCTTTTTTCCCAAGGCCATCAGGTTTAATTTTGTCTATGCTTATGTCAGTAATTACTTCAGAAATGTTTTCTAGTAGCAACCATGATAAAGAATTCCTTTGGAAAGTAGAGGTGATTGGAGCGGCCAGTGCACTCCAGTCTGGGTGACAGAGTAAGACTCCAATTCAAAAAAAAAAAGCAATGACACATTCATGGAAGGACTTGGGAGGTGAGCGTCCACTGGCTGGACGGTGTGACCTGCAGGATGGGCAAGAGGGTTAAACCCAGCAGGGCGTGTGGCACGCGGGCACACAGCAGGTACTTAACAAGGTTAGTTCGCTCAGCCCACAGAGTTTATCCAGACACCTATGCTGGGCTGACGTCCCGCCGGGACTTTTACGCACACCCTTGATGTCCACAGATGATTCTAGACAGGCGTAAACGTGGTCCTCTGAGCCGAACCCGAGAAAGCATGAGCCACCTGGAAGCTGGGGCTGTTTTCTCCACATCGGTATGTGAGAAAACAACCGTGGAGGTCTCAAAGTTACAAAGACTTCCCTGCTGTCCTCTGAAAACCGAGGTGCCCCTCTTTGAAAGCCATCGTTGTTGGGATACATGGCCACACGCTCGTACTTTCTTTAGAGACAGGATCTTATCTTGTTGCCCAAGCTGGAGTGCAGTGGCGTGATCATAGCTCACCGTAATCTCCACCTCCTGGGCTCCAGCCACCCTCCCGTCTCAACCTCCTGAGTAGAAAAGACGACAGGCGTGCGCCACCACAACTGGTTAATTCGTAACCACAATCTGTAGCCTCTGTCTCTCCCAGCCCTGTACCGTCCCTGGTGGCCATCCGAGGGCTGACGGCCTGGCCACTGCCAAGAGGCACCTGCAGAAACTCTCATAAGCCACGAATCCCCCCTGCCCCGGAGCCCCTTCTTACCTCCAGTCTCGTCCGGTCCACATCTTTGGGCAGTTTCACGCGAATTCGGTTTGTGACGATGAGGGTGTCATAAGGGTAGATCTGGTGGGGAGGAAACCACAGGGTCACTCCACGGAGCAGGCGTGTGCCAGCACAGAGCCGAGAGAAAGGCCATGGGATACATACTTGCGTCTGCATCTGACAACACATTTCATAGGGAAGCACAACAGAAAGGGGCTTTAACCTGGGCAGGTGCGGCGTGGACATCAGCGTGGGCGCGTGGCCCCTCTTACCTTGTATTCTGTAAGAGAGAGCGGAGACCACAGCGTGGTTTAGAAGGTGCAAGAACGCCGTGAGGTGGAAGCAACCCCCGCCCCGGGGGACGCCCACCCCCGCCCCTGAGCAGTCTGCACTGGGCTCTGATCTGGGGGCTGCAGGGGAGGGGCTCTGGGGGCCAGAGCAGAAGGCGTGGTCAGGCTGGAGGTCAGACCGGGAGCCAGACGGTGCTCTGAGCGCCTGGGCCCTGACACTGTCTCCCTGGTGGGCTGCGCCGCCCTGAGAAAGAGGCTGGCCTCTCTTTACCCGCCTGTGCGGTGGGCATTCCAGGGAGACCGCTTGGGGGCTGTCGTGGAGACTGACAGTGCACTGCGGTCTGACATTCCTGTCTTCTTCACACACCCCTTCCTCCCTCTGAAGCCCCTGATCCTTGCAGCCAAGCCTTGCTGCACTTCCAGACTGAAAGCACCTTACGAAGACCATCAGACGGCATGGACGGGGGGGTCTCCAGGCACACAGAACCCACAGGGGTCTGCAGCACCTGGGCCTTAAGCCAGTCTCAGAAGTGGGACCCCTGTGCCAGGGGCCGGTCCCTGAGCCCCCACACGTCACATGGGATCTCAGATGTGCCAGCTCTGAGGCTCAGGTACTTGGAAAGCCACTCAGAGGGAACGGGCTGTGACACCCGGGTGCTCTGTCATCCACGTGTGAACAAGACTGAGAGCAAGGCTTCGCCGTCACTCACTCTTGGGGGGACGGGGTGACAAAGAGGTGAGCATCATCTTCCGCCAGCCACCCGCCACGGGACAGCTGGCCACCCTGGCGACACCAACCTCCCAGCTGCCGCCCTGGTGTGGAGCCCAGAGAGTCGTGCCGGGTGCAGGTGATCAAGCAGCCAGCAAGGGCGGAGGCGGGGCTGACCCAGCCCAGTTCCGCTCACACCCTGGACACCGTGTGCCTGGGGCTGTGCTCTCCCAAGTGACACGGGGTGCCACACGAGCCAGAGCAGGGCAGGGCGGCCGCTGCACCCACAAACAGGAGAGAGGGGCGTCTCGAGGCATGCAGAACGGGGGCAAACTGATCCTGGCCTGGAGCAGGAGGGGAAGGAGCACGCCCTCCCCTGGCGGTGGCCCTGTCCTCCCTGCCTGGAGCCTCTCGCCCGCAGGCCGCGGGCCGGGCGGCTTCAGCGCGAGACTCGAGGAAACGTGTGAGTGACGCCCTGCCCCAGCCAGAGACCCATGGGGTCCCCGCTCCGAGTACCTCGCATGCCCCAGCTGGCATCAGGGTCTGCTCCGCAGGGGCCCAGACTGGCGTTCTGGAAGAGAAAGAGAGAGTGGGCGGCAAGAGGCGGGTGGCCCCGGGGCGCCGGGGCCGGGGACAGTCCCTCCTCCAGGCCTCGGTCCTCACAGGCCTGGGAGGCGGGTGTCTGCAGCACAGTGACTAGGCAACAGAGGGGAGGAGGAAGCGGAGTGTCCAGGGCGCCTGCACCTGCAGGATTTGCTCACAGGACGCCCGCCGCGGCCCCTGCCTGCTGGGTAACTCCGAACCCCCTGAAAGCCACCAGTGCCTGTGTCCCCCATGCTGCCGCTGGCATGGACCACAGCAGTGGCCCTGGCCCCTCTCCTTGCTCATGTGGCATCAGGCGCGGGGCTCTGTGGTCCCTGGTTGGGGACTGCAGGGCCTCTACAGTTGGCTCCTGCGTTGCGGCACCTGGAACCTGCTGTCCCCAGGTGCTCAGGGTGGCCCGGGCCCCACCCTACACCCTCTGTCCTCTGCAAGAGAGCCAAGGGGGAAGTGCTGGCCACCGTCGCTGCAGCTGTGTACTTCTGCGTGGAATTCCTCGTCTAGTTCTGAGCTGCGTTAACGCCTGCAGTGTGAGTGCGAGTTGACGTCCACCCGCCCCAGACACTCCAAGGCAGGTGGGATCCCGTCTCCCCTGAGCCTGTGACCCTCGGAGGATTAAAGGGTCCCCATGTCGAAATCTCCAGCACGAGGCCCAGCGTATCATAAGCACCCCGTACAGAGCGGCCGTGCCCCGACAATGACACTCAAGTGGTGACGGCACTCCCAGGAGGCACGGAGCTGAGGGTCTCCGTCGCCTGTCCCAAATGCCCACGACACTCAGCCGCAAACTCTCCCGCTGTAGCGTGTCCTGACCATGAATGTTGCTTTCCCTTCTGCTCGCCGGAGAATGTCACCTACGCCATCCTGCCAACCGCCACGGAGGGGCCTCACCCTGCAGAGCACACACTCGGCCTCTGCGGGTGTCAGCCCCTCTCCTGTCCAGTCCTGTCCCCAGCTGGCTCCTGGGGTTTGCACCACGAGCCATGCTCTGTTGCGATGGTGCCTCGGTGGCCCACGGGAAACAGTGCTTGAAGAAAGTGTCCTATTTACGCCGGAATCCCCAGCACCTGGTACAGGGTCTGAAAAGGGGTCAGGCCCTCAGCCGGCGCTTCTGGAGTTGGGATTCCTTTTCAGCTGAGAGGGTTCTGAAGCTGATGGGAGACTGCAGACTCAGCCCGGCAGCGTGGCCACAGGGAAGAATGCTTTTGGCCCTGACGTCGCCACAGGCGGTGCTCGGGGCGCTGAGAGAGAAGGAGACAGGAAGAGACCGCAGATGGCACCGAGTCCAAAGTGCGTCACCTGGAACGGGGAAACCGAGGCCAGCGAGAAGCCAGGACCCCCCTCCCGTCACAGGCCTGGCTCACAAACGGGGTAAGTACCCGAGCAGGGGGTTGGGCCTGGTCTTGACGTTTCTGATGTTTTGTTGATCGTGGACTTCTGGCACTCAGTTAGAGTTCTCTAAACCGTGCACTGAAAGATGACTCGTCTGGATGACTGCATCCTTCGTCCATCAGTCATTCCGGCCTGGCCCGGGGCCCTGAGTCACGCGCCCCGCTGGGGCCTCTCACCTCCACTGCTTCACAGAAGAATCCTTCCACCAAGAAGTCTCCAGGAGCCATTTCCCAAGACATTTTCCGTCTCAGGCTCGCACCCGCAGGTGCACACGTCCGGGTCTGGGAACCGCCTCTTGCCCGTCGGGTGGGAAAGAGAAATGCTGCCCCCTCGTGCCCGCTCTCCTGCATTGCAGGCCGCCAACACTCCCAGGCCACCGCCGTCAACTGGAGGGCTTGGAAATACTCCTCCCAGCAGCAAAGCCGGCTTCCTCTTGTCTTCCAGGCTCTGAGACAAATGGAGACTCCAGGAGGGAGGTGGGGCATCTTCCAGGTGGAGGAGAGGGACCGCTGGACAGGCGTAGAGCAGTGAACGCTGAACTGACTCCGGCCGTCTTGAGCGGGGGTGGGACCTGCCTGACCTCACAGGGGCAAGGGGTCCAGCTGCTTTTACTTTTTTTTTTTTTTTTTTGAGTGGAGTCTCACTCTGTCGCCCAGACTGGACTGGAGTGCAGTGGCCGGGAGCGGCCACTGCAACCTCGACCTACTGGGCTCCAGCGATCCTTCCGCCTCAGCCTTCCAAGGAGCTGGAACTACAGGCGAGCGCTACCACGCCTGGCTAGTTTTTGATTTATTGTAGAGACAGGGTCTCGCCAGGTTGCCCAGGCAGATCTTGAACCCACAGGCTCAGGCAATCCACTCGCTTTGGCCTCCCAAAGTGCTGGGATGATGGGCTGGGCCAGCGAGCCCAGCCTGCTTTGACTTTTTGTGGAGTGGGGTCTCTCTTTGTCATCCAGATTGGAGTGTAGTGGTGTGATCATAGCTCACTGCAGCCTTGAACTCCTGGTCTCAAGGGATCCTCCTGCCTCAGTAGCTGGAACTACAGGCATGTACCATCATGCCTGCATAATAGTCTTGCTTTTTGTAGAGGCAGGGTCTTGCTATTCAAGGCTGGACTTGAACTTCTGGCCTCAAGCGATCCTTCTGTTTCCACCTCCCAAAGTGCTGGGATGACAGGTGTGGGCCACCCTGCCTGGCACGAGGGTTCTTGAGTTACCGCCTCGTGTGTGGGCCAGCAGGAGAGCCCAGTGGCCGGGGCTGGGGGTACCACAGAGTCAGCGGCTGGGTATATTCCTGGCTGACTTCCTTACAGTTCTCAACAGAGGCACCAGAGATTTTCAAAGCAACCGATTATTGACCTCTCCCATTTATTTGTCATTTATGTGTGCCAGCCACTTTACAAGGCACATTCTCTAACCTTCGCTGCCACTGAAGGAAATTGACACCGTCACTTCACGGATGACGCTCAGAGAGGTTAAGCCACTTGGCCAAGATCATACAACAACCACCTGAGGCTGTAAGAATCTGAACCCAAGCGTTTTACCTGGGATTGCTAACAGCCACTGAGACCATGGCCGTTTGCCACTGGCCACCGCTCTTTTCTTGCTAAAGCTCACCTCGGAACGTGCGACCTTTCTTACTCAGTGGCCACTAATGTAACAAAAACGAATGGGTAGGGTCTTGGCTTCTAATAATTACCCATGTGGGAAACCTGCCGTGGAGCGGACAAAGAGATGACATAACCATCATGCCACCTGTCCTCAAAATAACCTCAGGAGGTAAAGCCCAGCTTTTTAAGGACTAGGAAAAGAGACTCAGAAAGGTCCAGGGACTTCTCCAAAGACAGAGCTGGGGTTTGAACTCAGGGCTGTCTGATGCTAGCATGTGGATTCTTTCTAGCCTGTCGGTTTAGAAGTATCAGACACTTTTAATTATTAAGTTTCTCTTTGCAGTCCCGTCATAAACATTTTTATAAATGTTTAATGAACATGTGAAAATTTGATTCAAAAGATGTCACTTTTTTCCTATACCTGTTAGATTGTTGTTTGTACTATGTAATTACTCTCTGTACTTTAAAATTATTTTTAAATAATAGATCCATATCCTTTTATTTTTCTTTCCTCCCTTCTTCCTTCCTTCCTTCCTGTCTCTCTCTCTCTCTCTCTCTCTCTCTCTCTCTGTCTTGCTCTGTTGCAGGTTGCAGTGCAGGGGCACAATCATAGCTCACTGCAGCCTCAAATGCCTGGGTTGAAGTGATCCTCCTGCCTCAGCCTCCCAAAGTGCTGGGATTACAGGCATGAGCCATGGTGCCTGGCTTACGTGTCTTATTGCAAAAGTCATACTCAAGCCACTTATTATACTTACATTTTAGCAAGGTTGTTAGGCATTGCCGTGTTGCCCGGGGCATTTAAATTTATGCATGCTATAATTGCTTTATTAAATTATGCCTTTGTCATAAATTAGTGTCCCCTCTCTCTCTCTCTCTCTCTCTCTCTCTATATATATATATATATATATACAC